CCAGGTACATGCCCTTGACCGGAATCGAACCTGGGACCCTTCAGTCCGCAGGCCGACGCTCTATCCACTGAGCCAAACCGGTTTCGGCAGGATGACTTCTTTTATAGACCCAAATGGTAGTACTGACCTGCTACCAGGGAGTGAATGACTTTTAATTCTTTTTCCCAACAGTGGGGCCCAGGCCCTTTCATACCCTTGTGATAAAGAATGTGCCTTTGCTGCGAGTTGGCTGGTTGAATTTGGAGCACTGCCTGAATCCTTAGTACAGAGAGCAGATCGCTGGCCCAACCAAAAATTAAGCCCATGGTCTTGGCCTTTTTTTGGCCCGGTCCTCAGTCCCAAGAAAATCTTTATCTGATATCAGCTTCAGAAAACGTTTGGGTTGGCTGGTATTTTATTCAGCTCTCAGGCTCTGGAGACCTGTTGTAACACTCGCATCCCTTTCTTCATTGCAACCGCTTTATGCAAAGGGCAGAAATTGCTGCCTCTGATTCTCAGAGACTTCCTCTGGGCAGAAGGAGGGGGAAATATTATGGGCGGTTAGTATTTCTTCATTCTTAGAATTGTAAGTTAGTATATCGCTGAAGTTCTGAAAGGGCAAGAGGTATGTGCATGGGACTAGTGGGGGTCTGAGTCCATCAGCCCGATGGGCAGAAGGATTGACAGCTGTCCTGGCTGCTTGATGTGCAGACTCCCAACTGACTCCAGCTCATTCTCTTCTAGGCATCCTTTCCCCAAAGTGTTCAATGGATGCAACAGGAGGGAGCTGGAAAGGTATCTGCAGTCAGGTGGTGGGATGTGTCTCTCGAACATGCCAGACATCAAGATGCTGTACGGAGGCCGGAGATGCGGAAATGGGTACCTGGAAGAAGGGGAAGAGTGTGACTGTGGGGAGGAAGAGGTAAGGTGTCATGGCGGCACAGGCAGGAGAGAAAGAATGTGCGTTCATTTCAAATCTCAAGGTCAAAGAGGATGCAGTTGAAAAATTTCTTACTCATGCCATTTCCTACAACATGGAGGGTCAGCCTTCACTGTGGACCACCTTTGCAGACTCCCAGTTTGAGCCTGGCCCTGTTGGTGTCCCAGTTTGGGTGGAGTTCTTCCTGTGAGTGTCTGATCTCACCACAAACCACAGTCCACACCAGTGCAGTGACAGATGCCCTTCTTGGCCTTCCAGCTGCACTGAATTTATTCTGGGGGCCACGCAGCCGGATATCTGAACTTGACCTTGGGCCTTTGGAGGATGCTGAAAGTAATAAGCTGTGCTGCGTAGCCTGGAGACGAGATGGCGGAAAGGGGAAGTAGAAAGCTCGGTCAGGTCTGAAAGGGCCGCCAGGAGGAAGAAGGAGCAAGCTGTTTTGATCTTCAAAATGAGTGGCAGGCACACAGCATAGCTGTGTCACTTTAGCGGACGCGAGTGGTTCTGCAAAAAGCAGAACTGGGTAGTTTCATCTCTATTTTTTGAAAGATGGAAATATGTACATTAACAAATGAAAACAATTTGGGGGAGAAAACATGAGAAACAGCTATGGTAGTGAGATTTCGAGCTGTTTATGCGGGAAAAGTATTTGATTTTATAACCTTCTCTATGGCTTGATTTTTTTTTTTTCACTGTCAGCATGTAAATATTATAATAAACTGGAGACCCGGTGCATGAATTTGTGCACAAGTTGGGGTCCGTCCGGCCCGCCCCAATCAGGTCCGATTGGGCCGGGTGGCCAGGGGGAGGGGACACTGGAGGTTGGCCAGCCGGCCCCGCCCCTTGGTCAAACTCCCCATCGAACTCCCGGTTGAGGGGACAGTTTGCCTATTAGCCTTTTATTATATAGGATAGGACCAGACCTAGTTAAGGCTCTGCCATGAGTTCAGAACAGTCAGTCCAGATGCTTCAGAAAGGAGGTGTGGTTGAGGAACACCCCTGAGTGGGCTCAGCCAGTTAGCTTATTTCGGAGCAGTTGCTGATTCTATAGCTTTTTACTAAGTGGGGGGTACTATGCTGGTGCTAGGGCTAGGGTAAATATAGCAAAAATAGACGTGGTCCCTGTCCGGGTGGAGCATATAGTACAGCAGGGGAAACACTTTGACCAAATAGCTGCAAAGGTATCTAAATACAATCCATGGTAAACGCTAGGAGGGCCAATGACAAGATGCTGTGAGTATTTGTAGTATAAGGGGAGCTGCCCTCCTGAGTGTGGGTGTGACCTCTGACCCCCATATCGAAGGCTATGAGGAGTGAGTGGGGAGCACAAGGAGAGAAGACACACGGTGCCTAGAGGTGGGAAGACATATGATATGTTAGAAGGGCGGGAACAGGGGTCTGCCCGGAGCCCAGGGTGGTGAGGGATGAATGGAAGGGAAGTGTTCTAGTTCCCTCTCTTGGGGAAGATGGGTGGGCATCTATAGTCAGGCAGTGCTGTCTTCAATATGCTTGACCTGGACAGTTATGGTTATGATATGGTTAATAAGCATGAAGTGGGCCCCAGGTAGACATGGCTTGAATTCTGCTCCAACACTTGCCACGTGTGTGCGCCTCGACTTGTTTCAGCCCCAGTTTCCCCGCCTGTGAAATGGGAATGGTCTTGCCTCACAGGCTGTGATGGTCCTATGCACAGAGACCGGCACATTGTCAAGAAATGTTTGTGGCCAGGCCTGTGACTCTAGTTGGAGTGTTATAAGGACACTCACAGCCCCTGGCCATCTCGTCATCCTTTTAAATCTCTTGCTGTCAGCAAATGGGGAGCAGTAGGGCAGGAAGGAAGCGAGGAGAGCGTGGAAGCCCTAGAGACCTGTCCCGGAAAGGCCCGGGCTGGCGAGGCTTGAGGAAGAGCAGCAGATGGTGAGAGAAGTCTGAGGAAGCAGGCCAGGAGCTGACGTAAACTGTGTGCAAGGTTGTTGCAGGATGCCCTGGCTCCTGATGGCCTCTTTTTGTGGGATAGGAAGACCTGGGGGTGGTGGGGCGGGGGGCAGGGAGGGCAGTTTAGAAAAGCACAGAAGACAGAGTCTTGGGGTGTTATATTGGGGATGAGAAAAAAAATCACAGAATTTCCATAGGGATGCTATTCTGAAAATCAGGTTTTGGAAGGATACATGATTATAAGGAGGTGTGTGCCTATTACATTGTGTTAAAAAGCAGTGTGGATACTTTGATTTTATAAAGTAAGTGTATGTGTATAGGAAAATGCCTGGAAAAATATCCACACTCAAAATGTAGTTGTGTCTGAGCTGATGATTGTGTGTGTGTATTAAATATAAATATAAACAACATATATTCCCCCACCCCTAGGATCAATATACATTACCTTAGCGATTAAGCTATAAAGTGATTTTTTTTATAAAGGCTTCCTAGGGAGCCAGGCATGTGGGCATGCGGGCAGGGTTGGGGAGATGGGAGAGGCAGGTGAAGGCCCTGACCTCTCCCAGACTCTGTCTCCCTGTCCTGCTGCCCCGGAGGCTCATGCCCACTTCCACTGTCTCCCCAGGAATGTGACAATCCCTGCTGCAATGCCTCTAATTGCACCCTGAGGGAAGGGGCAGAGTGTGCCCACGGCTCCTGCTGTCACCGCTGTAAGGTGAGTGGCCCTTTCCCTGACCTAACAGAACCGCTGTGGGGTGATGGACAGGACACAGCCTCCTTCTGGGGGAAGAGAGGGCCTCAAAGCTTCAGAAACATGGAGCCTGGACCCCTTTGAACACATAATGAGCACATGTGAGTATACATGTAGGTGTTCGGGGGAAATGTGCATATGTATAATTTAGATGCATGTGTGTAAATGGGTCTATCTATTTGCTTATGTGAGTTTATAATATGTGTGTGCTGTGTGTGTGTGTGTGTGTGTGTGTGTGTGAGTGTGTATATTAGTGGGCCTGATTCTTTTGCCATTTATTCACCATAAGGCTTTGGATACATTGCTTAGCCTCTTTGGCCTCAGGTTTCATAATCTGTAAAATAAGGATAATTATATTACATAAAACTGTCATGAAAACTAAATGAAATAATAGTTGTACTGGGCACCCAAGCGGGAGCTCCATAAAAGTAGCCATTATTACCGAAGTATTTAGTCAGCTGTAAGTTGTTGCATGAATATGATCTCTGGCCGACCTCCTCTGGAGAGGAAGTGAGTTACCTTTGGGAAAACGCCTGGAAAACTCTAAGTCACTGTTCACATTAGAGGGTATGATGGTTTGAACTACGGAGGCCTGTGAAATAATGGGAATGGGAGTTCCGTTCCACACAGTGATGCTCACGGTCCCCTCTGGGAGGCTGGAGGGAGACTGATGTTTTCCCCTCTTTTCCTCGCCCAGCTGGTGGCCCCTGGCACGCTGTGCCGCCCACAGGCCCGGCAGTGCGACCTCCCAGAGTTCTGCACGGGCAAGTCTCCCCACTGTCCCACCAACTTCTACCAGATGGACGGCACCTCCTGCGAGGGCGGCCAGGCCTACTGCTACAACGGCATGTGCCTCACCTACCAGGCCCAGTGCGAGCAGCTGTGGGGTCCCGGTAAGTGGGTGGGGTCAGCCCTCGTCCCGCCCACCTCTACTGAGCGTGGAATCTTGGCTTCAACGCAGCATCTCCAGATGCTGCCCTCGGGTCAGGGTAGACTTTTAGGGAGAGACAGTGTGTTCCTCCCAGTTCCTCGATGCTGTCAGTTCTCAGAGCGAGTAAATGGGTAAGAATCATCCAAAAGACAAATGGGCAGAGGATGGGCACAGAACAGGAAGATGCTTACCCGCACTCATATGCAGTGAAGGCAAATGCTAACTGCTGTAAGGTGGGCTTGTGCATGCATCAGATTGGCAGCATCGTAAGAGTTAATGTAATGTAGTAGTAATAATAGTGATACTCTAACAACCACAAGAGCCATGATAATATAGATGTGGAGAATGAGGGGGCCACAGATAGGTACAGCCCCTATGGAGAGCGATTTGGAGATGTGAACATTTTAAATGCACTAGTCATCGGGCCCATCCATTCTACTGCTTAGGCATGTATCTTCCACTGTACTTGAACATGGATGTGAAGATAAGTTTATAAGGATAATGGTTGCAGCATTCTTCTTTCCAGCAATAACAGCCTATACATCCTTCATAGGGGCCAATTAGATTAATTCTGGTACATCCATACAGTGGAACACGGCGCAGCTGAGTAAAAACAGCAGCTCAGTGTCTACTGAATAAAATCTCCCACAGTGAATTGAGAGAACAGTGCAAGAGGCAGGACGGCGAATAGAATAGGCTGTCGTTCTTGATGAGATAAATTGTCTCCAAAAGATACACAAGAATTGTATCTAGAACAGTGGTTCTCAACCTTCAGGCCCAACCATATGGTTGTGACCCAACCATAAAATTATTTTCGTTGCTACTTCATAACTGTGATGTTGCTACTGTTATGAATCGTAATGTAAATATCTGATATGCAGGATGGTCTTAGGTGACCCCTGTGAAAGGGTCGTTCGACCACCAAAGGGGTCGCGACCCATAGGTTGAGAACCGCTGACCTAGAAGTTAACATAGTTCTCTGTAGAAGATACATCATTAATTGTGATTTCTTATCCAGGGTTTAGGGAAGTAAGAATTGGAATGGCTAGTACCAAGAAAATTCCCAAGACATACTTTATTTCTTTAAACATTTGCATGTGTATTGCTTATTTTTAAAAATCCCTAAAAGGACAGGGTTTCTTTACTAGAGAGAAAAAGGTTTAACATACAAACCCACAGGTAGATACAAAACCTCGGTAAGGTATAAAGAGCTGATATAAAAGCTTTTGCTATGAGTAGGAATGGAGTAACCTGATTGGAGAAAAGGAAGAAAACATTCTCTCCCCAAAAGCTTTCTTCACCTTGACCCTTTTTACCAAGGACCGGCTTTGCCCACTGGGGGCTTCTGACTTCTCCTCAAGCTGGCTAGGGTACTGACGGATGTTTCTTGCCCACTCAGGTGCCCGGCTTGCTCACGACCTCTGCTTCGAGAGGGTGAATGTGGCAGGGGACACCTATGGGAACTGTGGGAAGGACATGAATGGGAAACACAAGAAGTGCAGTATCAGGTAATGACCGCTGGGCAGACCCCGTGGGATGCGGGGTCACGAAGCAATTCCTTCTGTGTCCGCCTCACTCCTCCCTCCCACCGGCTCAGCAGCTTGGCAGCCCCGGAGCTGGGCGGCTGTTGGACAATGCCCCATTCAGCCTGAGGAAGTCCGGGGGAGGGTGCGATGGCAATGCTTCCTAGAAAGCCGATCAGACTTCCGTTCAGGACTTTCTTGCAGTAGGGCAGGCCATCAGCCTTCTTGGGTCATTGCTGCAGGGTGCTGATTACACCCTCATCTGAATAACCCATCATTCATTCACCCATTCACTCATTCATTCATGTATTCATTCATTTCAGCCACCCACCCATCCGTTCACCTATCCACTCTCTGTGGAGGGTGTACCATGTGCCAGATACTCCACTGAGTACATGGGACTTTTAATTAACAATGTAGCATGATAATGGACATGATCTTAGTGGGTGTAGATCATTTCCCAATGGAAGTTATGCCTAAGTGGAGATCTGGACAAATGATCTCGTTGAGTAGAGTGGGGAATGGTGCTGGTACCTGGGAAGAGTGTCCCAGGCAGAGAAGAGAAGAGAAAAATCAGTGGTCAGTAGAACTAATAATTTGATATAAAGTATAATGTTGGGGTGTAATGGAGAAGGGGCTTCTGAGAAGTGAGACTGGATAGTTAGAGACCAGATCATAAATTCCTTAAAGACATGGCTGAGAGAGCGTGGACTTCGGCTTGAGAGCAGTTTAGAAATTAGATTCTAATGGGGCAAGACTGGAGGCAGAAAGATCCGTTTCCTGGTGTCCAGATGAGAGAGGACGATGATGTGGTGGCAGCATCTGGGTGCATGGGGTGCAAGGACCACACGGGCAGGTTGCTCAGTTCCGGCCGTTGTCCTGGCAGGAAAGGGGACTTCCTAAGACCAGTGCTCTGGCCTGGATCTGCTTGGGGACAAGGATCCTGTTTCTTTCCCTTTGTCTATGCCCACGTGGGGTGTCTCCTGGTGGGTCCCTCGAGCATGCCCGTTGCTCCTTTGCCCTTTCCCCAGGCTTGCAAGCCTGCTGTCCTGGTCAAGAAAAACTAAGCTCTCCTGTGCCCAGCTTTTTCCCAGCCTCTAATTCCACCTCCTTCTCTCCTGGGCCCAGGGATGCCAAGTGTGGGAAGATCCAGTGTCAGGCTTCTCAGTCCAGGCCCCTGGAGTACAACGCCGTGGCCATCGACACCACCATCACCATCAACGGGCGGGAAGTCCAGTGTCGGGGCATCCACGTCTACCAAAGTGCCGAGGAGGAGAATGACATGCTGGACCCAGGCCTGGTGCTGACGGGGACCAAGTGTGGCTACAACCATGTGAGGCTCTCCCTCCAGCTTCACTCAGGGTTTGGGCTGCAGCAGGGCAGTGACTGAGGAGCGTGAACTCGGGAGGGAGGATGCCTGATCTCAAATCCCAGCCGGCCCAACATGACTGCGCTTCCACAGTCTAGCTTCTGTCATCATCACCTTTGTCCTCATCATTAATGTCATATGAATTAAGACCAGGAGTCAGGGAAGCCTGGGGGAATAGTGGCACCATCTCAGAGTTAACTCTGAGAACGAAATTATTTGTAAAAAACATAGAACGCATCTTTGTATAGCACCTGGCACAGAGTAGACTGCTGCCACCATCATCATTATTTTTAAATTGAATATTAAAATTAGTGCCTATTAGCATACAATTAAGAAACTAACATATACCAACATATAATAATACAGGATGTAATAACACATATTATATTATTACATATTTATATTATTGTTTTAACAGTATAATATTTGTTGTTTTCTCACTAATCACAAAAGTAAAAGTGGAATTTAGTTAAATGCTATCCAGCCCTGGCTTTTTTGGTTTTTGAATTTTTACTGTAAAGCATAGCCTGAAGCGAGCTGCCTTTCAGAGTCCCATAGGTCGTAGGTGCAAAGCCCCAGTCTTCTGATTGTCGAGCAGTGTCTCTTTGCTTGTGCTGACGGTCTGTCTCCTCCTCATGCAGATTTGCTTCGAGGGGGAGTGCAGGAACACCTCCTTCTTTGAAACCGAAGGCTGCGGGAAGAAGTGCAATGACCATGGGGTACGTGTGCCCAAGGTTCTGGGGCTCCTCCGCTAGTGTCCCGGCTGCAGGCCCTGTGGGAGGTGGGAGCTCTCCAGGGTGCTGATGCCTCTGTCCGGCCCTCGCTCCAGGTCTGCAACAACAACCAGAACTGCCACTGCAACCCAGGCTGGGCCCCACCCTACTGCAACACGCCTGGCTTTGGAGGCAGCATCGACAGCGGGCCCATGCCCCCCGAGGGTGAGTGCCTGGCCTGCCCACCTTTGTGAGGAGATGTTGGCACCATGGGGGCAGGTGGCATGTTGCAAAGGGATGATGCATCAGCTTTATTATCCTGATTTTGTAGATGAGGGAACAAGAAAAAGAGGACCTGAGCCCAGTGTGGGGCTCAGCTCAGTTGCTCCTCTGTCCTCTTCGAGAGAGAGGGAGATTAAGACAGACTATAGATTAACTGAATGATCTCATCCTCTTGGGGGTGGGTGGCAACCAGTCCTGCTCAGCCACTTACTTAAAAATAATCAGGAACCTGGGGCACATTCTAGTGCTTTAAATTCCCTTGGATGAAACAAAGCTTACAATGGAGAACCAGACACGCAGAAAAACGTACAGTGTTTTCCTGGAAATCTCAGAGATTCCAGCCCTTTGGCTTCCAAGCTTTTAAAAATATATCTTTATGATAGTATTTAAATTAAGTAATACACATTCACTGCGCATCAAATATCTGAGGAAGAACCAGGATCTGTTGTTTGGAACCCACTGCGGTTGCCCAGGCAGCGTCTGCGTCTCTCACCGGGCTCTGTTCTGGCAGGCGTAGGTCCCGTGCTGGCCGGCGTGTTCTCGGCCCTCTTCGTGCTGGCGGTGCTTGTGCTGATATACTACTGCTGCAAGCAGGACAGCAGGCTGGGCCAGCTCAAGGCCTTTGCCCTTCCCTCCAAGTTGAGGCAACAGTTCAGGTATGACGGGGTGCCACGAAGGCCTTGGGGTCCCTTGTGGATCGTCGAGCTTTCTGTGGTGGTGGCTCTAATTCGGGGAAGGTCAATGCAAGGTGCATGCCACCCTCTCCCCTCGGCCATGCTCCAAGACCACGGCTGACAGTGCTCGTCGACCTTACTCTACCTATTCTCTGCGGAGTCTGGTCATTACTCAGAATCCTTCTCAGCAGAATGCCCCCAATCAGTTAAAGTTGAAGAACTCTGTTTTCCACCCTTTATTTCCATCCCATTTTAAAGAGCAGGAAACTGAGGCAACAGAGAAAGAATGACGAGCCCAGGACACTCAGGGGTGGCTGGGCATCAACTCAAGACAAACACTAAGTTTCCTTTAAGCGATTCATCCCTTGGGATGTTGAACATATCTAGTCTCTGGGTCCCGTATTATATTACACTTGTCCTGCAGGGGATTTTAAAGCCCTAAGGGGGATTAGTTGATGGTAGATGACATCCTTGAGTCTCCTAGCAGGAGAAAGGTCTTAAATGGATGAAGAGAAGGTGCTGAAGAAAACTCTGGTTTGAATAAGGCCAACTCTTTTTCCCTGGGAGGTCTCCATTGACCACACGTCTTTATTCCTAGGGAGCTGGGGTTCAGGGGACCAATCCCACTTCCTCCAGAGCAGACTTTGGGGAGGATTTAGCTGTTTACTGGCCGTGCCCTGGTGAGAGGGAACTCAGGCACTGACCCTCGATAATCACTCCCATTTCTTCTCCTCCCAATCCTTGTTACCAGTTGTCCCTTCAGGGTGTCTCAGAACAGCGGAACTGGACATGCCAACCCAACATTCAAGTTGCAGACCCCCCAGGGCAAGCGAAAGGTAAGGACTTTGCACCTTGAACTTCACTAATTTTCCTTCACCATCGGGACCCTGCTGGGTTTTCCTAATAGCCTCTGTGGTTTCTGAAATTGATAATAAAAACCCCTAGGGACTTGAAAGGTTGCATCTGGCCTCTGGGATCTCAGGGATTTAAGAAGTCACCCAGTTCTCCCTGAGCCTCTGGTCATCTCACAAGGGCTCCCTGAGTTTTTAAGTGCATTAAGAGTTACTTTGTCTTAGACCAGTGGTTCTCAACCTTCCTAATGCCGCGAGTTTCTCTTGTTGTGATGACCCCCAACCATAAAATTATTTTCGTTGCTACTTCATAACTGTAATTTTGCTACTGTTATGAATCATCATGTACATATCTGATATGCAGGATGTATTTTCATTGTTACAAATTGAACATAATGAAAGCATAGTGATTAATCACAAAAACAATATGTAATTATATATGTTTATAATTATATATGTTTATAATTATATATGTTTTCCGATGGTCTTAGGCGACCCCTGTGAAAGGGTCATTCGACCCCCAAAGGGGTCGTGACCCACAGGTTGAGAACCGCTGTCTTAGACGCTCCTTGTCTTATCCATACAGGTGATTAACACCCCTGAACCCCCACGGAAGCCTCCTGTGCCCCCTCCGGACTATCTGCAGGGCAGCTCCCCACCTGTGCCATTGCCAGCACACCTCCTCAGGACTCCTAGGAACCCCCCTGGGGCTGGACCCCAAGTAGAGCGGAAGGAGTCAGCCCGGAGGCCGCCCCCAAGCCGGCCAATGCCCCCCGCACCACATTGCATCCTCTCCCAGGTAAGTGGATGCTCAGCCAAAAGCTGGGGACATTGCTTTTAAGGCCTCTGGCCATGGAGGGTGACTGAGGCTGGGAAGCGGGAGCTCGCAAAGTCTGAGCTGACTGCCTTTTCTGCGGTCTGATAACTACAGGGTCAGAGTGAAGCGTCTGGGGAAATAGGCTCCCAGGCAGCCCCTAAACCACAGAGGAGTTCCTCCCTGGGTGGCCTATTTTATGACAAGTCACTACCCACCCACCTTCCACCCCAAAGTTACTTCTCCCAGTTCCCTGCCATCGTCTTCCCTTCTCTAGGTCTTTGCAAAGGCTGTTTCCTCTGCTGAATGCCCAGCTCCTCTTCATCCTCAGGTCTCCCCTCAGATGCCACCTCTCCTAAGAAGCCTCCTCTGACCCCGGAAACCTGAATGTGGCAGCCCCAGACTTCCCTCACCTTTGTAATTACCCCACCAAATTGTACCTATGGGTGCCGTCCACTGGTCAGGAAGCCCGAGGAGGGGTGTGCCGTGACGCCTGGCTCATGGGGGCCGGTCGGGGGCAGGAGGCTGTGGGAGGTGGAGTGGGCCTGGGCTCTACTCCCACGGGTGCCCTTCGGAAGCCGAGCCGCCCCGCCCGCTGCCTGTTTACCCGGCGCCTGTGCTCTGCGGCTGCAACTGTACCTCCTGGCAGAAGTTCCCGCAGGCAGACCCAGATGTTTCCAGGGCGGTGGCCGGCCTTCCGAGCCAAACTGTATTTTGGGTGTGACCCCACTGTGGAGATTTGCTTATTTTCCTTCTGGGACTGCTTTTCTTGGGCACAGTCCAGAGGGCGTCACGGGGCCCAGCCTGTCTCTGAACCTGGACTGGTGTTGGCACCCGGTCTCAGGGGGCCCATGGGGCACAGGCAGTGTCACCGTTTGGCAGAGATCAGAGCACCGTTTGGTTCTCTGATAAGCTGAAACGGGTGGGAGCAGCTGTGTGGACAGGGAGGGAGGGAAAGCCTGGCAAAGAGGGGAGGGGAGGGGATGAGAGCGCATGAGTCTGCTTGGGCAGCATAGCAAACATCACAGGCCAGTGGCCTGAACAACAGAAATATACTTTCTCATAGTCTAGAGCAGCCGTGGGCAAACTTTTTGACTCGAGGGCCACAATGGGTTCTTAAACTGGACTGGAGGAACAAAAGCATGGATGGAGTGTTTGTGTGAACTAATATAAATTCAAAGTAAACATCATTACATAAGGGTACGGTCTTTTTTTTTTTTTAGTTTTATTCATTTCAAACGGGCCGGATCCGGCCCGCAGGCCGTAGTTTGCCCATGGCTGGTCTAGAGGCTACAAGTCCATGATTCAGGTGTCAGTAGATTTGGTTTCATCTTCGGCCTCTCTCCTTGGCTTCTCCCATGTCCTCATACATCCTTCCTTCATGCATGTGTGCCCCAGTATCCCTGTGTCCCATGGCCTCTGCTGAGGACACCCGGGGGATTGAATCAGGGCCTCGTTTTTAACTTAATCACCCCTTTAAAGGCCCTCTCTCCAAAGACAGTTCTATTCTGAGGTACTGGGGTTAGGGCTGCAACATATGGATTTGAAGGGGCACAGTTCAGCCTATGACAGAGAGGGTGCAGGAGGGAAAGGGAGCAAGAAGGGAGAAAGCAGGGCAAGCGACAGGGTGTGGAGGGAGTGCAGAGGTGCGGGAGGTGAGACGGAGGGAGCAGTCTGATGAGACAGCTGTCCCTGTGACCCCCACACTGTGACCCCCACACTGGAGGCTTGTTGAATGAAGATGGTGTCAGCCTCACCCCAAGGCACTGAGCAGGGGGGTGGGGCACCAGGGGCAGGGTGTTAATTTTAAATAAGATGGTCTGGGACGGCCTTATTGAGAAGGTGATAAAACATGAAGCTAACATAAAAGCAGAGAGGAAAGAATTCCTGTTCATTGTGCCCCCTATAGCCAACCAGTCATCTTTCCACTTTATTTTTATTTGCACAAATGATACACATATATGCTCTTGCGGAAAAAATTACATGTTCTCTGGGGTGAACGCCCTCTGCACTCACACACCATCCCTAACCTCAGTTACCAGCGTGGTCTGTGTCCTTCCTGGCTTTCTTCCGTACAGTTGTGTTTACCCTGGGGACGGGTGAGAGGCCGTGGTGGCAGGTTTTACGTGAATTTGCCTCTGTAGCTTATACTAGTAGGTCAGCTCTCAGTGACTCTTGGTCATCTGTCCACATTAGCACATGTCAGCCTACTTCATTCCTTTTAAATGCTGCATCCTGTGTCATTGTATATGTCACTGTATAAATGTAGTCATTTGTCTGCCGGTGGAAATTATGGTCATTTATAGTTTCTTTTGCTGTCACGTATGTGCTGCAAGGACCGTCCTCGTCACCTTCTTTTGTGCACCTGTGCAGGTGGTTCTCTAACCTGAGTCACACGAAGGGGAAGGGCTCGGTCGGAGAATGGTTCTTCCTCGTGTTCATAGTGCCGCCGACTTGCTCTCCAGGCTTTTTCCTGAGCGTTAACACACAGCTGCAGACAGCTTCTTACATGGCTCTGCATAGGAGAGCATATCCTCTTACACCTGATTCTGCTCCGTATAACGGGAAGGTTTTCTTTTGGACAGGCCCCTCGGGCTGTGAGTGAGGCTTGTGGCTTTCTCCCCAGGATATCTCCAGGCCTCGGCCACCTCAGAAGGCGCTCCCGGCCAACCCCGTGCCAGGCCGCAAGAACGTCTCCAGGCCCGGCGGTGCCGCCATCCTGCCACCCACCGCCGCGGGCCGCCCTCAGCAGTCCTGGCCTCTGTTAACCCCCGCCCCAAAGGTGAGTCTGCAGAAGCCCTCAAGGTCAAAGCGGAAGCCAGAGGGTCCCGGGGGCAAGAGCGTGATCGAGAAAACACTGAGTTCACGCTTCCTGTTGGAGGGCTGAGCTTCCGAACCGAGGCCAAGGACAAAAGCTTAGTGTTTCTCGGTGCCTGTGTGACTGTCCCTTAAATGGGGGACAGGGGTCTTTTTGTTCCGTGTGGACAGTGATGCTTAGGAGCCTGAGCTCCTGATGGCTCCACACCTGGATCGGCACCCGACTGGGTGGCCCTGAGCTGGGTGGCCCTGAGCCTGTTCCCTTTCCCCGGGCTGCCATGGAGGCCAAGGCAGTTCACGGATGCAGACTGCCGGCCTCTGGTAGCATGTGCACAGTGACTCCTCTTCCCGCTTCCCTGGGCTGACCTGCTCTCTGGCTGCCAGGCCTAGGAGCACAGGGGAGGGGAGGAAGCTGGCTGACTCCCTGTGTTCCCAGGCGGCCCCGGGAAATCTGTGGACTGAGCTGCAGCTTTGCGGGGAGGAAGGGAGATGGCTTGTCAGCACGGGGTGGGGCGCCAGCATGCAGAGTTGATGTCACGGGAAACCATTCCTCTCACTGACCGGCTGTCCGCATCTGACCTGTCCACACCCCAGAGGACACCACCGATCGCAGGTAGCTGACGCTTCTCTCCCTCCCCTCCCTCTCTTTCCACAGTTTCCTGACTACACAGCGCAGAGGGCTGGGTGGATGACTAACTCAAGAATCTAGACCTGTCTAGGGGCTGCTCCCTTTCCCGGGACTCAGCACCACAGTCTGGAAGCCGCCTGGCCGCCTCTGAGCCCCTCCTCCTGGACCACCGCATCTCCGAAAATCTCCTTCTGGACTCATTGCCTCCCAGCCTCCTCTCGGGCCCAGAGTCCCCACCATCCAACGGCATCCCAGAGTTGTTTTGTGCAATATACAGCCCGCGGGGAGAGGATGAATGGCGGCTTCTCTAAGCTCCCTTCAGCTGGCCCCTCACCGCAGAGGTGCCCAGGCCCGGGCTGTCTGCGCTGAGGAGCCCGGCTGGGAAAAGTCCCCTCAGCCCTTCAGGTCAGGACTTAGCGCGGAGGAGCCGTCCATCCTCATCCCTTGGTGGAAGGTGTGCATGGGAGCTTGCCAGGGCTTGTCTTCCTGAAGGTCCCCGGCTGGACGGAGGCCGGGCACTTCCCCATCCTTTGTAGCTCTGAGACAGAGGGTCAAACCAGCCGCTGCTGTGTTCCTGCCCGGGCTTGGCGGGCATCACAGCTTCTGGCTCTGCGTCCACACGGGAACAAGTCTAGTTCCCTCCTCTGCCCTCCCACATCCCCTATCCCCTTCCCCTTATTTCTCGGGTCTCTCTGACTCAGACAGGTACTAGTTGTAGGCAGTGTCGACAGCAGGGGGAGCACCAGGCCTCCCCTGAGCCGTAATGCCAAAGGTTTAGACTCCTGACTCACGGTCATTCTTGATTGCCATTGTCTTCTGCACTTTCTAAGTGCCCCACGCTTTTCCCCGCTTGGACCCGCCCCGTGTGAGGTGCTGCGGGGAGTGGACCCACCGCGGTGCTGACTTCCTGGGGACCTGGTGCTTGTGTCCTGCCCGAGGGTGCGTGCCATCGGTTCTCACGGGTGTTGACCATAGTGGACTCGGGCCCTGGCTGTGGGGGCGTGGCTTCGTTTTCCATTGTGTTTTATAACCTCAGCAAGGTGTCTCCCCCTTCCTCCCTGACCTAAGCCTACTCAAGGTCCCTAGGGGCAGGGACGGCAGCAGGTGCAGTGACCTAGGGAGCAGACGTCCTAGGAACCCCAGTCTGTGCCTCGGTCTGGTCATGGCCCTCGACAGAGCAGCCCTGTCTCTGGAGGTGCCTAAGAAGCCGCCATCGGCCATCTCGAAGGAAGAGAGTCTGAGCTGGGGCCAGCCAGGCTGTTGAGGCTCTACTTCCTTGCGTTCTCTCTGGTCACTGCCTTACTTGCCCTCACGGAGAGAACTCGGAGCAGCCTCAGACGCCGCTCAGAGAGCCCTGCCCTCCCCGGAGCAGGAGGGAGGGCTGTGTGGTGCTCTGCACGGTCAGACCACTTGTCCCTGGAATGTTCTCTGGGACTGCCACCCCCGGGAAGGTGCTCTTGGAAACCTCAGTGCACGGAAAAGACTTGAGCCCTCACCCCCGACCCTTTACAGTTCTCTGCACACGACAGGTGCTCAATAGATTGGGTTCGCAGGCAAGTGGGAGATTTGGGACCTGCACCTGGGGACACACATCGGTGGGTTTAGAAAGGTCTCAGGGAAATGGGGTCTCTTCCCTCAGGTAGTCATGATGTTCACGCCCCGTCTCCCTGACATGGGCCCTGGTGGCCCCCCATCGTCAATTTCTGCCTTCCTTGCTGTTGATTAAGTCAGGGGGCAGCCTGCCATTGAAGTGTGGTACTGCAAACATCCAGGCTTCAATGCTGGGTCCCAGAAATGTAAAGAACCCCCCCCCCCAAAAAAAAAGTCACCCTGAAGCCACCCGTGGCTCACAGGTTCCCCTGTGGCGTGTCCAGCCTTTCTCCCTGGCGTCAGGGGCAGATGGCCCTGCGGGGAAATGCCCCCGCCCTGTGGCTATTCGAGCCTTTTGAACCCGAAGTCCACTCTCCCTGGAACCAGAACCCAAAGAGATCTGGGTTGTTGCTTTCTTGTTTTTGTTTTGTTTTGTTTTTGTTTTCCATGGTTACCACCTCCATCCCATAAAATTGTACTGTGAACTGGAAGATGGTAGAATTTTTTAAATTTGATAGACTTTTGGCAGCCGGTTCTCGTGGCTGTTTCAATCCGGGCTCTGTGTATGGGGCCAGGTGTCGCCACTCTGGCAGGCCACGGTGGCTGCCCAGGAGCAGAAGCGGCCATGCCGTGCCCCTTTCCCCGCCTGTGCCCATGTGCTGCAAAGGTAAATCCGGACTCAAGGAAGGAGGGGCTGTATTTGAAAGGATCACTGCAAGACGGGGAAAGGGAATATTTCAGCCGGGAGAATGCTCAGGCAAGCTGCTGCCAAGGCTGCCCGCCTCCCAGAGCTCCAGAAGAAAAAGGCCTTTTGCTTTCGCAGGGAGGAGCGAACTTGGTGAGAAAGAGGTGTGTTCAGGGACCATCTTGTGCTCGGCCTTTTGGGGGAGGGACTGTATGTTGGGCCGAGGGTGGGTCCAGGTTCAGAGGCCCATGGGGAGGAGAGGAGCGGAGCTAAGGTTTCGTGGACTGAGTTAACTGGCGCTTTGTTCAGATGGAGCTGTGTATAAATCTTTTTTAAAGCGAATTCAGCCTTCTGCCAGTTTTACAACCTTGGAAATGTTTTCCTTACAAGCCTGGGAGCCATCTCTGAAATGTAAACCTCAGGGGACCTCAAGGAGACAGCGCCTGGTCCCTGCCTGTCCGGGTGGGAGCGGCAAGCCAGGCGCGGGCTCCAGGTGGGAAGTACCTGCCGGCCTGGGTTCTCTTTGGCCCTGTTTACTTCTCCCTATAAAAGAAACGCCCTTTCTGCCACAGCTCTGAGACGCTCACAGGTTTCTCGGGATTGCAGTAGCCCCTGGCCCCACCGCCCTTGCTGCCTCTTGCAATAATCCTTTCGAATACAGCCTCCCCTTACCCAGGTCCGAACTCGTGTTTGGCAGAGGGCATGGCAGACCTGCATGTTTAAATTGGGGACAAGTTCTGCAGTCAGCGACTGTGTGAACTGTGCGTACAATAGCTCTGCTGGACACCCCAGGAAGCCACGGGTATGCCGACTAGAAAGGTGCTAAGCGGGGTTCTGCAGAATCTAAGCCAGGCGCCCCCAAAGCTCCCCTTCCCCGCATCCTCTCACACCATCCGCTGTGTGTGCGTGTGTGAGTCTGCGATCCAGGGCAATGTGAATTTTCTTTTATATGGGAGATTGTTCATAGGAAACAGATCATCTTCTCTCTCGTCCACCTAGTAATTGTTTACAGTATTTGTACATCTATGCAAAATACTTGAATGGGCCATGGTGCCTTTTCCCCTTGTTTGTATTTAATTAAACTAAATTGTCATTTGAAGTGTCTGGTTTGGCTATTCCTTGTTGGTTTGTTGGTTTGTTTGTTTGGATGTCCTGCTGCTCAGCCTGGAGAGGATCTGTTGCCAGAGGACTCCTCGGGAGAGCGCCCACAGAGACCACAGCCCGCAGCCTTCATGGGAGAAGCTGAGCCGTACACAAGCCTTGGGCAGCCCCAGACCAGTCGAAGGGGCTGTCTGTCTGCACTTGGACATAGGCTGGTCTAGTTTAATTAGGTTCTGGGTCAGGAAAGGCAGGAATGACCCTGGGGTTCCCTGATATGAGTTTAGGAGGCAGCTGAGGCCCTCTGTTTTCATCTTAATTGCTAGGATCCTACACTTCAAAGAGAGGAGTTGCTCTGGTCTATTGGGCTGGGTGAGCACATGGGGCTGGGAGTGGGGTGTGCTTTCAGACTCCAGCGCTCATCCATTAGTGCTTCCCATTCCCAGTCCATGGAAGGGTCTCGCCCTCATTCCCTCACTGGACCCACTTCAAGTTTGAGGCTCTGTCAGACAGACAGGCTCCGCATCACCGTGATAGCTGGAAGCATTTACTGAGTACGTACCCGGCTGGGCTCCGAGTGCTACTTCACCTCATTTGTTCTTCACAGCAGCCTTGGGAGGGTCCTGGATTCTGATCCTACTTTTCTCGTGCTGAGTTTGCCTAAGGACATCAAAGGCGCCAAACACAAGTGCCCTGCCTACTAAAGTGCCTGCTCATGAAATTAGCCACCACCACCCCACAGCCCTGCCTGCCTAACACCATCAGTGAAGCCAACCACTGTTCAGACACAGAGCCTGGCTGTCCAGACCTGGGTTCAGATTCTGCCCGTGCTGCTTGCTGGATGTGTGAGATGGGGTACGTACCATTCCAGAGCCCGGAGTAAGTCTCCTTTTAATGCAAGTGGGAATGACTCCCGCCTCGGGGATGCCGTGCTCGTTAGCAAAGTGCCCTGCGGGAACCCGCCCAGCTGGAACTGGCCCAGGCTAAGTGCTCAGAGATGACGTCCGTGTCAGAGCTGAACATGGGGTTCGATTAGGACTTATTCTGGGTTGAGAGCTGGTCCCCAAGAGAGTTTGGGCCAAGAAGGACTGTTTGGAATGGTACTGTTCCTTCATTCAATACAGGTTTTTATGAGTCCCAGCTACGTGCTTGGGACATCCATCCGGGCCGTGGCGGTCGCTCTGTGCTCCCAGGCGGTGACAGCACAGATCACAGAAGAAATGAGCAGAGTAATATCAGACTGTGCCTGGGGGTTAAGACTGCGGGCTTGGAGCCAGATGTCAACGTGGACTCTTCCTGGCTGTGTGGCCTTAGCCCATTTCTTCACCTCTGACTGAGACCCTTTCCTCATTATAGAAGATGAGAATAAAAAAAAATGTCTGCCTTGAGGATCTTGGAGGACATAAAGAGAGAATTTACATGAAGCTCTTAGCATGTTGTAAAGGCTCGGTGTCTTCTACTGACTCTCCTCCCTAATCAGCCTTGCGCTGTAGGGACTTCCTTGGAAGCCATAACCCTCCAGAGATCAGGGACCGGCTTCCCAGCACTAGAGGCACCAGGGTAATTAATTGCTCCGTGTCCAAGGAAGGCTAAGACGCAAGTCTAAAGTAAACACACCCAAAGGTCTTTATTCTTGACCCTGCAGACCACACTCTCAGGGCCCTCAGATTACTGCTCTTCCCAAGATCCCACACGGTGCACTGACTTCAGTTACGGGCAGAAATCCATTCCTGAACAACTGGGGGTTTGAGGCTGGAGGTGCAGGAAGCCGACCTGTTGGTCAGCTGCACCTGGGGAGCTCCAAGGCCGGCAAGAGACTGGCCTGGGCTTGGCTGCGCTGGGGGGTTGGGGGGTGGTGTGTAAACACAGGGAGCTCTCAGGGGAGGTGCTGCCCCAGCTCAGGGACTGAGGGTCAACTCCTCCCTCTTTGCAGATACTTGGCTCCATTCAGCAGTCCTTGTACCAACTCCCACTCTCCTGCAGCTGGAAAGCAGACATGCAGGGAAGGATATCAAGTATCTCTCTCTCCAGCTGCTCCTGTTTTGTGAACGCCTCTGGCCAAGTGTGAGGGGACCAACAGCAGACCCCAAAGCAGGTGGTGTTGGAGCATCATGACACGCTGCGTCCCAGGTGGGCAGCTCATCAGTGGAACTGGGGTCTTGGTGGCCACCTGGTCAACAGCCAGATGCTCCCGTGCCAAGCCTACACTCTCCTTGGTCACTGAAGTTCAAAGCTGGTCCCACTGGCCAAGCCTCTAAGGCTGGAGCCCAGCAATTACCCAGAGCCCTCTCTGCCTGGGGAATTGGTTGGGCACCAGAGTAAACACAAAAGTTAGCTCCTGGTTTCCATGGAGCCGCTGGCTGCTTCCTGCCAAATCCTGACTTTGCTCTTCACTCTTCCCATCTTCCAAATCATATTTGGTTTCACTCCTCGATGAAAAGAAAAGTGCATCTGCCAATAGCTCGACAGGGTACATTTAAGAGCAGTGCAACTGCTGTTCTCTGAGGCAGAAGGACACGCTGGGCTTGGCCCGCAGAGCTTGGCTGTGAAGCAGCTTTTGTGGTGGTGGTTGTCGCTTTGCGTTCAGTTCTGAGATAACTGCTTGACTGTCTCAGCAATGAACTCCTTAAGATGTAAGGAGAGAGGAAAGGCAGGCGTGGGGGAGGAGGCCATGGGAACGAAGATGCTGACCTCCGACTGGAGTGCTTGGGGAGTGGGGCTGGTGGAAATGTTTCCCTGAGACACCAGGTGACTTTCACAGTAAGAGGGTCAGTTGAGGTCTTACTTCTGTCTCCAAAGAAAGAGGAAGCGGCCAAAGCAGCAAGGCATTTTTCATGAGCTGTGTCTCTGGACAGGGAAGCCTGGCGATCGCTCTCTGAGCCTCATCTTTGGGCTGCAGAATGGCGAGTCAGTCTCAGGAGAATGGCGCTGAGGATTTCCTGCCGACCAACATCTCAGGGAAGTCCTTAGTGCTACATTCAACAGGTCAGATTCTGTCTTCTCCCCACCCACCTACAGATGGCACCCAGGAAACACGTGGGAAGGGAGGTCCAGGGGTCCTGCTGGCAACAGTGTAAGCAGGGCGTCTGGTCACTGAGGCTGTGATTGCAGGAAGTTCTGTCCCCACCACTCAGTGGACACGGGTTTTCCTCCTGGAAACAGCGATGAGGTATCAACGAATGTCTCAGAAAAGAGAGCCCCATGGGTAACAGCTGTGCTGAAAATGACTTCCCACACCGAGAAGTCAGGCTGTACCACAGGGCTCATCCTCACTCGGGATGCCTGAGCTTTAAGAATGGACGATAAATACTTTGGGCTTCTCTTCTGGCGAGGGGGTCCTGGAGAGTTCTATATTGTCCACGAGGACATTCTTGTCTTCGAGTCTAATGACAGTGG